CATTTTAATGTGATGCCAACCATGTTACTTGATAGGTAGTTTTTATTATCCTGCTGAGTTCATGGGGCAGAAACATCCATTTTTATGGACCTTTTGACTTTTCTGTGTTTATACATGATAGTATCTAAAGTGATCTTTTTAACTTTTTGATGAATGCAGTCAACACACATGGCTTCTCAGCAGATTACAGAAGAAGCTGTATACCTATGTACCGGAAATCCTATGCCTAAAGACATTGAGCAGATAACTTACTGGCTTCTGAATGAATCATTTGTGGAGAGTTTCAAACGTATTATTCACAACTCTTGAGATTGTTTTTGTCTTGATATTGCTTATTTGAACTTCCAGCTGTGCAATTTTATTGTCATTTATTTATTCTGTGATTGACTTTGTAGGAGTATTGGAAATGAAGACAAGGAAAGGACTGGCATTGGTAGATATTGTAAGAGAAGTGACAATGTAAGTGCTGTGTGCAATTCTTTTATACACCTACTGATTGAATTTGATTAGTCAATCTTCATCAGCTGCCTTTTCTACCAGGTTTGTGTTTAATATTAAGATGCCATCAGATGTTCGAGTTCAGTTAATCAATGATCTGGCTGACATTGAGTGAGTTGACTTACAACATCTTCCCTGTTTAACTTGTCCATGATGATATACATACAGGTCATGAAAACATTATAGAGGAATCATCTTTAGCTAAAATTATTCCCCATAAGGTAACATCCATAGTTTAATGTATGGAAAAAAAGCTAAGGTGGTGAAGCTCCATGAAGTAGCAGTTAATAACATTTGCCAGGCGGCTCCATGTTAAATTTAGGGTGCAACTTCAATAATTTCTTACACTAAAGTACATGCTATTATTTATCAATTAAATGAAAATATCATGGAATACCCCCATTCAACTTTTCAATGTTGCTGGACCTGTTGATTAAGAGGCAAGGTAATTTCCATCCCATCCCATTGATTGGCATGATTGTTCACCATATATGCAGATACCGATTGAGCTTTGGGTGCAACGATAAACTACAGCTTGGATCCCTCATTAGCACATTTACAGGTGCAAGATCTGCACTAGTGGCTGCAGCGAAGTAGCAGTTTGGCAAATCTGCTTTTTGTTGGACATCTCTAGTGACATGAGTAGGATCTCAAGAACATTGGTTTTCTAGTATGCAAGTTGTGAATCAACCAAAACATGTAAAGTTTTAAGGTTAATGGATGTGTAACTTTCCCTCTATTTAATAGGGCTTTTCCTGTTTTTGAAGAGCTACCTTTTGCTCCTAGTTCATTTGCTAACCCATGTTGGTTTCCTGTTATGTAAAGTTCAGTGCATCAACATTAGTTGCTCTAGCAAAGGCTTGTCTCTAATCAGTTCCAAATCCTCTGTAACTTGCTGCAGATATTTCTCATCATGGAAGCTCAGGTTCAGGGTGAAATGAAGAGAAATGTATTTTCCAATGTAGAACTGTACTATTTTTATGCAATCCAAACGTTAAAATTACCAAAACATCATTAATGAATAAGGGTAATTTTATTAAAGATATTTTAATAATCTTAGTTTCTAAATTATACAATAAAAGGTGTAATCTATTTTGAAAAACACACATTAACGTGAAAGAGCATGCAGGCGAGATGTTAAAATTATTAAGATTTTTAATCACAACTATAATTTAAGTATAACTTTATTTAAATAATAATTATAATTAAATATCTTAATAATTTTAATATCAGAATATTTTAATTTTTATTTATTCTGTTTCGTGAAATGAAAATGTACGGCTGAAAAACCAAATTATTATAGCGAATGATTGATATACCCCTGGGCCGTATTTATCTAAAAAAGATACCCGTGGACTGTAGCTCAGGCCCAGATCCTACTCCAATTTACAGATATACTTAAAAAATAAAAAATAAAATAAAGCTTGGAGAGTTGGAGTATCCTCTAAGACAAAAAGTTCCGTCTTTCTTCTTGCTCACAGACTCCTATTTTCCTCAGAAGCACTGTCAGATCAAATCAATTTCTTTCAGTAAACCCTAATTCTCCGATGTCGGTACGTCTTCTTCTTTCTTTCTCTAATACAAACCCTACTCTAATCTCATGGTTACACTGCTGCACTTTTCCTATTAATTATTTCTGCTACGCAGATCTTCGAGTACAATGGCAGTGCCCTGGTAGCCATGGTTGGCAAGAACTGTTTTGCCATCGCCAGCGATCGGAGGCTTGGAGTTCAACTCCAAACAATCGCCACTGACTTTAAGAGGATTTACAAAATTCACGATCGCTTGTTTGTCGGTCTCTCCGGCCTTGCCACCGATGCGCAAACCCTGTACTTTTCTTGTTTTAACCAACAAAATCTTCTATTTTCTCATGGGTTTTTTTTTTTTTTTTTTTGGTGTGTATGCTGATTTGGTTCTTTGTTGCTCAAGGTACCAGCGGCTCGTGTTTCGGCACAAATTGTATCAGCTTAGAGAAGAGAGGGACATGAAACCCGAGACGTTTGCTAGCCTTGTCTCCGCAATTCTCTATGAAAAAAGGTTCGTAATTTAGTATTTGGTGTCGTTGGAAGTCAACTAGGGGAGAAGCAGCTGATTGAAGTTAGAAAGTTGGGTTTTTTAGTTTTGCAAACCAGAGAGTAGTAATTATTGAGAACTAGGAATATTAACTTTATCTTTGCTACATGCATTTTAATCTCTTAAATTCTTAGTAATAGTTTGAATAATGTGGTCTTGGCAATGTTGGAACTAGGAAGAGCCTTTTGTTTTGATCCCTTGATATAGAAAAAAGGTAATAGTTTGAATAATGTGGTCTTGGCAGTGTATGATGTTATGACATTAACACACCTTTTACTTGCTTCCTAGGTTTGGTCCATACATCTGCCAACCTGTAATTGCTGGCCTGGGAGATGAAGACAAACCATTCATTTGCACCATGGATTCAATTGGTGCCAAGTATGTTATTTTTCCCCTCATTACTCTGCTTCTTCATCATAACTGCCACTTGAAGCAATGACCTGACCTCATTGAAGTTACAATAAAGTGCAACCAACAAGGTCAAGTAAAAAGTGTTTTTTTTTTCTCCGTCATGTCACAACATGACTCTGAGCACCAAAACGTTTGGAATCTCCTTAGTTGCTTGAAATATACATTTTGCTGCTATGCACTTTTCTATACAATTTATCCATTAAGGGTTTGTTTGTCTAAAAGTACAGTGCGCCTATACTTCTAATTTTCTTTTTTTATCAGTTCAAGCCCTGCCTGAGCTGAATTATGTAGAAAAGTTGTATAATTTGTCTAAACCTTGAGTGACTCTTCCTCCAAATCTGATGAATCATCAGATCATGCTGCCTTCAACAACCTTCTCTATAAGGTTTTGCCATGAAGTTTCTTTCCTAGTTGAAGCCATCAGCCCCATCATTAGGTTCAGTTTTATGTGTCTACTATTTCACAAATTCAACTTCAACCTTTACCTGATATGACCGATAGCTTCTCAGCACCAGCCTATGCTTCTAAATGAGCCACAATAGGAAAAATAAATCTATGGGTTCTAGGTTAAAGTTTCCAATTGTGTTATTGTCCATAAAAGCTCTGGCTTGTTTTAAGTTTCTTTTATTTCGCAATGTACCAAGTTCACTTTAGGCATGTATCAGTTCTTCATGATAGGTGGCCAAAAAAATCTCCTTGATAGTGAATTTCCCATTTTATCTGTCTTGAAACCACTGTTTCTTTTTTCAGTTCTTAAATATGCCTCTTAGCTGGCCCATCAGATATTTGTATGATTAATTGTAATGTTGGAAGATTACTATTATTCTGAGGTCCAGGGAGTTGGGTCTTGCTTAGAAAAATCAACTTGCAATCTTACAGTTCCTGATTTTCTTGCAAAAAAATAAAAAATAAAAAATTCAGTTTGAAACTAACCCGCATCAATGGTTTGTATATCCATAAGCTTCCTGATATGATGCTAATAGCCTAATACTGCTTTGCTTGTTATGTTTGCATTTTTAAAAATGCAGGGAACTGGCAAAAGATTTTGTTGTAGCTGGTACTGCCTCTGAGTCTCTTTATGGTGCCTGTGAGGCAATGTTCAAGCTTGATATGGTTAGTAACTCTACACTTCTGATATGCACATTAGAAAACGTGTCATCTTCATTGAGAAATGTGCCTGATATGCATGTAATTCTAAAAGCTAAAACATGGTGCTATTTTTTGGGGGTAGCAAGGGCAAGCAGTCAGCATCACTTACGTATGCTGCGTAAGTAATTAGGTTTTGATGGAGAGTTTGGGATGGTCAAAGGATTCTATTTTGTTTATAAATTTTGGCCAAAGGGGCTTACTTTTGTTAGAAATGTAGTTCTTGTATCCTGCTTCTCAACTTTATGTTGTAGGTGTGGTGGTAAAATAGGAGCTTTTATTGGCTCCTTTCTTTTTTTCAGGAACCTGAAGAATTGTTTGAGACTGTTTCTCAAGCACTCCTTGCTTCCATAGACCGTGATTGTTTGAGTGGTTGGGGAGGACATGTCTATGTTGTGTAAGCATCCTCTAATGCCTTTTATACATCTCTCATAACAAAAAATGCTTCTGAATAATATCCTTTACTCTACTTTTTCACTCGAGTGTTGATGCCTTCTATTTGGTAGATAACATCAATGACGGAAAAGAAAACAAAGATTTTAGTACACTAAGAGACCTACATAACAAAAGAATTAGAAAATTGTATCTGAAAAATATGAAAAGTAGCATCATAACCAGTTGATTATAAATGTTGCAGAACTCCTACTGAAATAAAGGAAAGGATCTTGAAGGGAAGGATGGACTGAAGAGGGAGCAGACCCAAAAGCCAAGCCTTGTTTACTTGCCAGCCACCAGTGTCTGATTTCCTATTACAGAAACTTATGGCATCTTTGTTATATCAAGGCTATCATCCTGTAGTGGTTGAATCTAGTATAATGCTCTTTTTTTTTTTGGCTGTGATGCAATGCTTGATAAATTCATAGAAATTGGATTTCTTTTTTTTCCAATCTAATTTTGCTGAATTTCTGATGGTCATTTTCAGATATTAAAGTTAGATTTACAATTAGAGATGCATTATATTGATTTAATACATTTTTTTATTAATCCCTCAATATTCGAGAATCACATTAAGTCATGATTAATTCAGAATTGAGTTGCGTTGAATTTTATAGAAAGAAATGTTTTTAACATTTATCTTTTTATTTATAAGATTTGAATTTAAAATTTTATTTTAAAAAAATTTGGGTTTTTTACTCGAATTAAGAACTTGTTGCTATTGATTTAATACTTATGATAATCGATAAAATAATGTAAAATTAAACCCAAAAAAAAAGGGGGAAGTTTTATGAGCCAAATGGATGGGCCCAGCCCAGGGGAAACTGGGTCTATAGTTTTAACTGTTAGAAATACGGTTACCTTCTTCTCTGTATATAACAGAGAATTAGTTAATGAATTAATATCTCTCTCTTCATGCCAAATCGCCTGAGGATTGAGAAAATTTTTCTTTTTCCATCTGTGAATCCAGGAATTTGAACTACAGAAGACACCATATCTCTGGTTTTAATTTGATGGGTAATATAATAAGTTCATTCTTCTCCGGTTTTACCGAAGCCATTGCCAAACTTTTTGGCTCTCCACTGGATTTTCTTGCTGGGAAGTCCTGCGGGTAAAATCTACCGTTTCCATTTTGGTTCATTCATCCTCTTCACTCAATTATTAACTCTGTTAATTTTGATGATGATTCAGTTCAGTTTGCGGATCGACATGGGATATTTCATGTTACATTGAGAATTTCTGTGTTGCCAATCTGCTGAAGATGGCCATGGTATTACTTCTGTCCTACATTGGTAAGTTTGGACTGATTAATCTATATGCTGAATTAATTTACATATACATGTTCCTCTTATTTATATATATTATTGTGCCTGCAGTTATCCTGTTCTTCTATCTGTTATACAAAGTTGGCATCTGTCATTGCATTGGGCATTGCCTTTGTAAATTTACATGGACATTCATTGCTTCTTGGTTCTCTTTCTGGGAGTTCTGTTTCACTTTCTTGTGCGTTAAGATTTGTAAACTTAAGCGGGTAAACATGGAAGAACTTGTCGATACAAGTGAAGAATATGATTCTAGACCTAGGAAGGCAAGCACCAGCAGGTCACTTTCCCGGGGATGGAGAAGAGTTCACTTGAGGAAATCTTTGAGGCCTAGGAACCACCGGATTCAAGTAGGGATTAGCAGCAGTAGACATGGTCATCAAGTAAGCACAGTTCATGATATTAGGGTGACTCGAACATCAAAATTTGCCCAAAAAAGTTTAAATTATAGACGAACAGCATATCGCAGCAGGAGGTAGATGCAACTGGCCATGGAATAAGGAATGATAAATTCTGAGTTTATGTTAAGCTTGGCCTGGGAAGTACAGAATGCTTAACTGGCCATGGAATACAGGTATTTATTCTTTTTCACCCTTTTCTGTTCTCCACTATCTTGAAAATGACATTTATCTTTTTGAAGCAAGAATATTCAATGTAGTTGCTTCGTAACAAAGCTGACCTCTTTTTCTCAAGGAAGATAAGGTCGTGAGTTACATGTGGTGGAAACAAGGACCAGAATCTTGAGGTTTGCTTGGCATGAAAGTTCCCCTATTCTAAAGCATGCTTCTGGCGTTGTCTCCTTCATATACCTTAATGCAAAGCAACATGTCCTCATTGATCATTGAATGGAGAACCAAGACACCAAAAATTCATCCAAACGGGTAACTTCCACCGAGATAGATCAAGTTGGCTCGGATTTTGCCTTGGCAGCAGCATTGCAAGAACAGGAGAGGGCTTTCACAATGCTCGAAACAATTGAAAGTGATGGTGATGAGGAAAGTGATATTTCTGAAGAATTAAGCAATGACAACGACTATGAGTTTTTTGAGTATGAAGGTGAACAAGAGTTCAATGAGGGACAATATAGCAACGATGAAGAAGACATGGAGGAAGATGACATTGATCCCGACGAGTTATCATACGAGGAGTTGATTGCTCTAGGGGAGATTATAGGAGTAGAGAGGAGAGGACTTTCTCCAAAAGAGATCTCTTCGTGCTTGCATTTGGTGAAGTTTCGGTTTGGGGAGAGTAAATGTGAGATCGATCGGTGTGTGGTATGTCAAGTCGAGTATGAAGAAGGAGAGACTTTGGGTGCTCTTTGTTGTGAACACCTATATCATTCAGAGTGCATAAGCAAATGGCTTCAAATGAAGAAGATTTGCCCCATTTGCGGTACTGAAATTTCATCCTCTATCAATACCAATTTCTCTTGATCATTGATCTTGTGTGCATATTTATTGGGTGTTGTAAATTAAGTGCTTGATTATGACTCAAGATTTAGTATGTCCAATTAAATTTGATTGATAATAATGTGAAAGGTAAAACAATTTCTTAAAAGTTTTTATCATATCACATTTTAAATGGTTTGTTGTTAAAAAAAAAAAAAAAAAAGGGGGAAAAGAGT